AGTTCAGCTGGCAACTAAACGCCACATAGCCGCTCGCTCACCCTCCCCCACCCCCAGGGGATGGGGAAGAGAATTAAAGGGGAAAAGGGAAATAGATCCGTAGGTTGAGATAAGAACAGTTTAATACTACTAATAATCACATAGGAATATGTACATATGTGTAATTATAATAATATATACAAATAAGTGATGCACAGTGTAATTACTCACCACCTGGTGACTGAGACCCGTCCCGTTCTAGACTAACAATCCGGAAAGAGATAAATCCTGACACTGCAATCCTGGATGAGTGAGAGGTCCAAAAAGAGCGTGAGAGAGAGACAGCACTCCAAGAGACTAAGAGTGAGAGCCCTGGAAGAGCAAAAGCCCTTCTTTCCAGTTAACCTTCATTTTTATACTGGACATGATGCTGCATGATATGAAATACTTCATTGGCCAATTTGGCCCTCAATCTCAAGTCTAAGTTCAAATCATAAGGGGAGTTGTGGACCCTTTGCCTCAGCCGTGCTCCCCCCTATCCTGTTGTGCTCTTGCACACTGGCAAGAACACGGCAAATGAAAAGCCCTTGAGGTCTCAGTGCCAACTATAAGCATCAGTGCGTCATCAACATTCTTCTCAGAACAAGTCCCAGACTAAAATCAAAACACAGAGCTCTTCTAACTGCTAAAAAGGGGAACTAACTGTCCCAGCTGAAATCAGGACACCAACTTTTCCTAGATTGTAAAAATATTTTTTTAGGAAGCAATTCCACCCTGACAGAAACACCAACCATAGAAGTCTTGAACCACCACCCACTGACGTTATGATATAGCAATGAGAAAGCAAAATAAAATTTTGTGATTCCTAGTGTTAGGTAATCATGGGCATTACTGGTATAAACACCAAAAAGTTTGATGTGAAATTTAAACTTTTGAATCTCTTGAATGAAAGTATCATTATCTCTGCTCCCAACATTCAATTCCGTCCTCTAGTGTTCCTCAGTCTTTTTTTTTTTGTATCTTTATTTACTTGACTATTTAGTATGCAAATATTGATATTTGTTGGAGTGTTAATTTCTTAACTTGAAGAAACTCCTTCATAGAATAATTTATTAGGAAAGAATTTAGCATAATACAGAAGTTCACTTTCAGAATACAAGACGAAAACATCCAACCTAGATGACTGATTTCCATCGATTAGACTGGCTTGAAGGATGAATTCCAAGTGATGTGAAATCAGTTACAACTGTCTGCACTGGTGTTTTAGTAGGCAAGAAGGAGTCCTTTTATGTAAATTTGCTTTTGTTATGCAGTACACGCACTCTGAATGATTTATTTTTGGTAAAACTGAGGTGGTACCTCCACACCATTGTGATCTTTGGCATGGTCCCCCTTGCAATGTGGACAGAAGGTCCTCTTTATGCATGCACGGTGCAGTGCATGCCCAACATGAATTTCATTTCTACTGAAGACCAGATGTGGACACATAAGTTTGGAAGCTTACAGGATTACTGCAAATCAAACCCCTGTCCATCCCTGTTTGTGCTGCACGAGCTGGTAACTGTGAGCTTTGACTTTTTGCTTTCTGGTTGTCCCCCAGGAAGAGAGCTCAATGCAGAAGAAAAAATTTATCTGCTCTTAAAAATGGTCTAAATTGTACTTCTATTTCATTTGTCCTCTTTCTTCTGTGTATTATAAGCATGTAGTTTAGAAGTGTTTTACTTGAAAGAAATTCTGTCTATCTCTTTCAGAAAAATGCCAGAATATCAATTTTGACAATGGTTATTTCACCTCGGGAAAGAAAACATTTCATTTACAGGAGATGGTCAGCTATAGTTGTCATACTGGCTTTGTAACTCCAGAAGGACAAGAAACAGGAGTGATACAGTGTCAAGAGAATGGCTGGACTCCACCTCCAAAGTGCATCAGTGAGTAGCATAAAGGCTTCAGGGCTCCCTTTCATTGTCACTGCTACAGACATGATGTCCTATGTACTCGGACTTCTGTCATCTAGATTGGTAGAGTTTTCTTAATGAACAGAGAGAGACTCAAATAGAGAACTGATCCTCCAGAGCTTAACCTTTCCAGGGCTCCAAGAAATAAAAAGAGAAAACATAAAGGAAGTGAATAAGGCAGGAAAATATCTTCTGTCTTCTAGGTGAGCTATCTTTTTGGACCTCTAGCGCAAAGTAGATGGTAATCACTGACTCCTCCAGTGATTCTTACCTAATACAAGGTACATATACCCGAGTTTACTCCCAATTCTCCTGCCTTTCACACTTCTGAGGGAAGATTTATGAAGAAATGCCTGTGAACCAAGGGATTCTGCCAAGAACTTTCTTTAAATGTGACCAGACTAAAGAAAAATGGAATTAATTATTTGGAAAGACATTATCATTATGCATAAAAAGCACTATGCGTATGTCTGCCCTGGTGTTAAAAAGTACATTTGTGAAAAACATCAGAGTGCTTTTTCCTGACAATATCTTCATCCTGTTGTCGCCTTTTTCCTCTTAGAAGTTCCTTCCTCTCCTGAAGGGGAATGTAGGATAGCGAAAGAAGAGACTTAATCTTCCGGTGTTATGTTACCAAGTTGGTAATATTGACCAACTTTAGCTGGTATTTTATCTTGTTCTTTAATTTCAGACCACCTTCCCCTACGATTTTGCAGCTTTTTTTTCTGACCCCCCTCACAAATAACCACGGGAAACAGGAGTAAAAGCTGTTTACTATAGCATCAATAATAATAACATGCGGAGAAGGAAAGAAATCGAATCTAAGGAAGAAATATTTAGGTTAGATATAACTTCTATACATATATTTATGGAGATTAATGCAATAGATATTATGTGAGTATGCTACATATGGTAGTCTACATTCATATTCTGGCAACGCAGAATTTTTAATATTTCAAATATACTGGGTAGTTCAGTAGACTAGCACACACTAAAGCACCTACAGAAATGATGGTGTCAAAGGGCAGTGTTTCTGGATCACAAAATGCACTAACTTTGTTTTATTCTACAGAATCATGTAAAACATCTCATTTGGACATTTTGCATTACCATACAAATAAAACTATGTTCATGCCTGAAGATACAATTGAGTATGCATGTTTGGAGGGATATCAAACTGCAAATAATAAGCCAACTGATACCACAACGTGTGGCATAAATGGTGAATGGAGTCCAACGCCCCAGTGTCTTGGTGAATATTGTTGTGTTTGCTAATCGGTGTAACTCTGTATACACTTTGTGAAGATTTTTTCTTTAAGACTTTCTTTGGCTTTGTTCTAATCATTAATATTTTGTGTACTTTTTGTAGAGTCTACGCTATATGTTAAAATACTTTGTTTTTGTAGCAATAGAATGTGAAATGCTGACATTGGCCAATGGAGATTTTTCTCCCAAGGAGGGTAAATACCGCAATGGAGATGTTGTGAAATTTACCTGTGCAAACAATTACGTGAGAGTGGGACCTCCCTCTACTCAGTGCTATTACTTTGGATGGTTTCCATCACCACCAGTGTGTAAAGGTAATTCTGTTGTTAACTTTATTGTAGTAGGAAATACATGAAAATGCTTGGTCCTGAAGACTTCTGCAGACACTTTCTGTAGGCTAGTCTTACTCCTAAGAACAATTATCCCGTGTCTAAAAGGGCATGAGCTGGTCCTCTTTGGATCATTTCATAATGGTTTTTTATTTTTTAAGATTCTGGACAGTCAAACTTTCTGTTAACTTTAGTTACGCCAGTTGGAGTTCTGCAATAACTGAGAGTGAGCTGGTAAATGACTTGCACAAAATGTCACTGTAATGTATGAAAAATTATTTATTATTCAAAAAGGCATAAATAATGCAAAGCAAAATAAAGTCAGTGAAGGGTTTTCCCTGTGAAATTCCTCAGCTTCCTCCAATAGGATGAACAAAATCATGCAGAAGGAAGATAACATGCCCCTATTCTTCTCATCCTTTTTAAGACAGAGCGCAACTTAGTGGCATCTGAAAAGAGTTTATTTTGCTGGTGCTATACCCTTTCATGAGACAACTTGAGAGGATTAAATGATCTCGTATTTCTTATCTCCCTTCCCACTCGATCTATTTCCTGTTGTCTTCCATGCGCTTGTCCTTCTTTTTGCTCACTCTCTTTCGCATTTAAAAACAAGTATATTTCATATAGTTGGCTCTTTAGCTTGGGAACATTTTAAACTCCTGTAACATGAGTTCCATTCACTCCATTGGAAGTGAATTCCTTTAATATACAGTACACATCACTTGCTGGGAGATTTTTATAACATAGGTTATTGTTACTTGCAGAATTTCTACCTTTTTTAAACAATATTGAAGTTGTCATCTACTTTGTAACAATTTTTTTCTCTTAAAACTGGCTAGGTTTTATCAACCACTTCTTTTACCGTAGCAGGAAATTGACAGTGCGTGGAAGTAAGAAAGTAGAGTGATCCAGGGTCACACATATCTGTTTGTGACCTCCAGCCCAACATAAATCTAGATATTCCAAGGCATAAACCAATGACCTGTTTAACCTGTTCTGCTGATTTTTCTTAGCTTTGAACAACAAATTCAGTTTATTTTTTGTTGCACTTAACATATAACTGTGCTAAAAGTACTGAGTTCAGAGCATAGATTTGATCTCTTGATTTCAGTGAGTGTCAGAGGCTGTGGACCTCCACCTGAGATTACCGATGGAAATATTGCTGGTGGCATTATGGAACAATATCGGCATGGGGACAGAAAGCAATATGAATGCAACATCAAATTTAAATTGGTTGGATCAAAGGAAATTGAATGTGTTGATGGACAATGGTCATCTCCTCCCTCTTGCATTGGTAAGCTACATGACTCTTACTTGTGAGAAGTCTATAATTCACCGTAGACTAATACTCCATAGATATTTTCACGATTAAAATTACATGTGTGCAGGTATAGCATGTCATGTTCAAAATCATGTTACGGATGAAAAGCAAGCACACACTATGTGTAAGGCCCAAATGTTATTAGTAGTATGATTGAAATCTTAGCAGTCCAATTAAAGAATTTTTGTGAGTCCAGATGAAATGATTATAGAAATAAAAAGAAAATAAATACATAATATATAAAGAATAATTATAAATATATAAATAATACAGAACATCTAAGTAATATATATTATTTATAATATATAATTGCAGTTGTTATACACACATTTCCTCTTATTTACCCCTTTTCTGCTGCTATGCTCACCCACCCACTGCCTCTTTGAGTCCTAAAGTCAATGGCTTCAGTCGGGTGTGTTTTGGAGGGAAGTTGCAGCACATTATCAATATCTCAAGTTTTTCAGTGGGAGGAATATGATGTTGATGCGCATGATTTCCTCCTTACAGGATCTGCTTGGGGCAATTTTTAGGTTTGCTAGCATGCTTTTGCACCTTGCCCTTTTTTCACTGGTCTACAAATTCTGAATTAGATATGTTAAGGGTGTTTTAAGTATGCTAGATCCTTGTTCTTTGTGTTACCCTAAATCCAGTTGTGATCAGCTACATAAACTGTGTTTCTACTATGTATATAAAACTATAGTTGCGCCGTACAGAGATAACTACAAGTAAAATAAATTAACTATAGCCTAGTCACTAGAAAAATTTCTATTATGGTTGAAATAGGTAAAACCAAGACTACAGACAGGTCAGGACAGATTCTGACAAAGTATGCCTCAGAAGCCTTTATCTTGAGGCCTTGCAAGTTCAGAACACTGTGGCCTCTTTCTAGCAATGGCAGTATTCTGTGTTACTGAGGCACAGGGCTGCAAACACGATGCCTATCAACGCTTTAGGTATGTTGCTGTCTTCCTTCAGCTAGAGTCAGACATGTCCAACAGTTTTTTATTGTCCTGATATTGAAATGGTGAACAGTTCTACAGTTGAGTCTCCTGCCTAAGCAAAAGCACCCACTTTCCATGCATGTCATTAAGTAGGGTATCTCAAACCTGAGAGTATGAATGTCAATGACAGGAGTTAAAAAATACTTCTGCAAAACTGCTATTTGTTTGTTAAGACAGTGTCTCAGAATTGAAGTAGAATGGAATACTCAAGCTGAAAATCTGTAAATTCAGAAAATAATTCAGGGTATTCTTATCACACAGGATCTAACAGCAGAACCAATAAATTGTGGGGTTTTATGGACTGATTTACTCTTTTCCTATACATATACATTCCGACACATCTTCCTGGAGCAACACTGATGATTTAAAAATGTACAGGATGACACTTGCATCTTTTCAATCCTTGATCTAGTGAGAGTAGTTTCAGTGCACAGACTTGAAAGAAGTGGTCCAAACTTGAGTGCAAAGTTGTTCAAATTCAATTTTTGAGTTTATCATGGATCTTCTCTCTCCCACATGAAGAGCAGGCCACATGCCCTTATTCCCCTTACATGTCTTTTTCCTCCTTCAAAAAAACTACTGACTTTTGTGCAAGCCATTACCCTTTGCTGTCACTACCACTGCAACAGTGACAGCCCAAAGCAGGAAATGCAATTATCACACAGAGGTGTCAGCACTGCAGCCCTCTAAGTGATGTGATGTTACAGTGGTTTTCAGTTCTCATACTGAAATACTAATTGAAAGTACACATTACAAATGTGTAGGTGTATAATCAAATATAATTTTGACTGATGAGAATCAGAGATCTAGGTGAGTTGGATTAATTGGAGGGTTTTTTTACACTTTAGGGTTTATGTACCAATGAAAAATAGTTCAGGAAATTAATGTTAGCTGAAACTACTTGTGGAGAATGTTGTGGGTTTACCACAGTAATGGAAAGGGAAGGGAAAAGACGAGAGAGGGATTGAGTAAACTTACTAAAACACATACATACTCGAGCTGTGTGGAAGTATAGCTGTTACAATTAATGGGAGTCAGTTTGACTCATCAAATGCAACTATAGTTATTTTTAAGTTCTTTCAGCTATTCATATATGACTCCAATATTACTGTGGAATACTTTTCTTTTCAACAGAAGACAAAATGCCATGTGGATCACCTTCCTCTATTCCGAATGTTGTTCTTCATCAGGAAGACCAGACCCAGTTTTCACATGGTGATGAAATAGTTTGTGGATGTAAACAAAGCTCCGGCAATTCTAATGAAATGAAAATCAAATGTCTTAATGGGGAATGGAAGCCTTTACCTCTTTGTGCTGGTAATCTATTTCCATAATATTTCAGATATGAGTGCAACATAGTTTTATTCACATTTCAAGGATTTCAGCAATCAGTATGTAGCCAGAGATACTATAGTTTCATGCATCTCAATTAAGGTTTTTTTTTATTTATTCCTCTTTTATATGTAAATGTGTCCTTCATCCTGTAAAGACTTTGCACTTACCACTTTGTAAGTGCTCTGAGTAGGTCTTGGGAAGGAAATGAAAAATTGCACAGTGGGTAGAATCAAGTATGGGGGTACATCTTTAGTGCATGGTGGCTTTTACCCATTTTCCAGTATTACTCTTCGGTAACAACCCTTCAGAAGCCTTAAGACGTACCTGCAATATAGTAGTGTGCCTGTTGTATTAATTACCTGTAGTTTTATGTCTCTGTATACTATTTTGCTTTTTAAAAATCTTACTGGGAAATTAGTATTAGTAGCCACAATGTGCTAGGCTTATCCCATCTTCACTATTTTTATGCGGATAGTCCTTTTCATTTCTGATCCATGGTTTTCTCTTTTTTCTCATCTTCCTATTTAGTTTTGCAGTGCATAAATTGAATGAAAGTAATGTCTTCTAAAAAGATCTAGAATGAAGCTTTTTTCCTAAGAGAAAGAAAAAAAATACATCGAAGTCAATAATTTAAGAAAAAAAGCGATACTGGACAAGACGGAGTCTTGTCTGGGATAAATTACTCCAGCACTGCACTTATCTTTAACAGAATACAGTTTATGATGCATCCAATTCTTGGTTCCTCCTTCCTTCAGAACTGAATTTATATTCATCAGTGATTCAAGTACAGTGTACCTTTATTTACAATTATGTTGAGGATTGAATCTGGCACAAAACACAGCATGCTTAGCTTTCCGAGTAGCTTGTGTTCTGACTCTCAGAATCACCAGTCAAGGACACAAGACCTGGTTATGATTGATAGATACTTCCACAGGAGGTGGATACCTGCTACATATTGGGTGTGGCGTAGTGCTTCCTTTATGCTACTGTTTCTACAAGCAAAGAAAGGTTTGGCTTCTTCCTCATCTTACCTTTTTGTAGTTTTAGGGAAGAAAAAATGCATATTTTTTGTGTTATTTACTGCACTCAGCAAAAGACATCCTGTCAACATAAAATTAATTGCTTTGTGAGCAGGAACAGTCCCTGCTTTAGATAGCAGGAACAAAAAAAACCATTCCGTTTCTGTAATCTGGGAATCTCAGGCATTACTTCAAACTACAGTAAATAAAAAACCACTTTCACATGGACATGCATTAGGAAACTGATGACTGCTTCATCGGTAAATGTGTGTGTCTGTATTACCTTAACTAACTCAATTTTTTTAGCTCTTTTTTATTGATTTTTTTTTTTTCAGATCCATCCCCTCGGTGTGTACTTCCAAGAGACGTTGAGCTTCTGCCCAGTGGTCGTGTTTCCAAGCAAAGAAAGGAGACTGGTTTCCGTAGAGTTATACGTTATAGATGTACATCAGCTGACAAAACTATTAAACAGGCAACTTGTGTGTCTGGAAAATGGTTACCAGAGATTCAATGTACATGTATGTTTTTAGATTTGCATACAATTCCTTCTTTTTATGTAGAGATGATAAATGCTTCTTATTAAGGCTTCTTAGCATTGTTGTGTCACTAGTCTGAACTAGAAATTCCTACATGTTTATACGTATACTTACTTGACTATATGCTAAAGGATAGTCGTGAATAATTATGGGAATCATTAGAACAGTGAACTAGGGTTAGAGATGCACTATTTTAGTGAGGCAGACTTGATCTCTGCTCTGACAATTGGAACAGTTGTCACAGTCACTTCCGGTGTGAGAAAAGAGGCAATGAAAATTTGAGCTCGGTTCTTCAAAAGGGCTTTATCCTGGTGCAAACGAAAGTAGCACATAGCTCAAGCTCCAGCCAAAGTTCCTTTATTTCCTGTAAACATTCAAAACTTTTCTATTCCCGATTTTTCTGTTTTTTTTTCCCTTCTGTTTTTTTCAAATTGCTTCCTAGTGAAACAACAAGAAAAGAGCTGAGTAGCCCAAATCAAAAGCACAGACGCAGAGGAGACTCCCCTTATCTAATATACACCAAAGGTCAGATACCTGCAGAACTGCCTTTATGTATAGCAGAGCGGGATATTGCCTGTAGAAGGCATAACTGTAAAACAATCATTACCTTATTGCCTGCTTTGATTATGCCATATTCATGAGAAATAATGCTTGGAAGTGGGAGAAGTATGCAGACTGGCAATCACTCAAGGGAATGTTCCCTTTCAAAACCAAGTGTTCCTACCTTCCAGGTTTTCTGGAACCACTAGAAGCAACAAACCAAGCTCTTGAGGTCGCCTCTTTCCTAGATATACTGCCTTCCCTGACTTTTTCTTTCCTGTGGCAGGAGCAGCTTTTTGTTCCTTGAGTGGTAAAATTGAAATTTATTTCTTTGTTTCTTTTTGTGATCCTCATTTAGCTCTGCTGTAAACTAAGTCTGAACTAAAAAGCAACAACAAAAGAAAACAGAACAAGAACCCCAGAAGTTGGTCCAATTTTCATAAAGTAGTTCACCATAGAGAAAGGAAGAGGGAGAACACACAGGGA